CACTCTTTCACTGGTGAATAGGGCCGTTTTAGGCAGCATGTTGCTTTACATCCTAAGCCTCAGTTTTCCCAACTGTATTATGGGCATCATCATGAATCATTGCTACTTCATAGGAGTGCTAGAGGGTGAAGTGAGAAAACTAAGGAATTAATGGGGGCCAGGAAGCTAGGTCATTACCCAGAACAGAGTACGAGACCAGTAAATATTAGTCATCTAGTATATAAAGATAACATCTAGTATATCTAGTTTTATTTTGGTGAGACAAAAAGAAAGGGAAGGAGAATAAAGTTGGAATGCCGAATGTGGCTGTGTGGGCGGGACACAGGCTGAAGGGCACAGGTTGGAATGCCAATGTGGAGGCTCCACTCACCGCTGAGAAAAAAACAGTGCACCATGGAGTTAAAAATGGCAAATAGGAAGAACACATTACATCCTAAGCAAGTGTCCATTGCGATTCCAATGAGCATTTCTGTGGTTGCCTTTTCTAGAATAGTTATTCGTGAATGACTGTCTTCTTGGTTGCCAAAATCCCATAATATAACACACACAAGCTTAGGCCTGATTTAGACCAGTCTTCTTCCCTGAGACCCAAGAATGTGGGAAAGTAGGTGAATTCTGGTCTATATCAGACACCAACGGAGGCACTCAGAGAATCTTAAATTGGAAGCAGAAATGAGCCAGCCCACTTGCACCTTCAATTTTCTTTTAAAAAGTTATCCTCTCTGGCTTAGCAGCTCGGACCTCAATATTTTATTCAATGAATATTTGATGTGACATATTTTAGAACTGACAGCTGTTGAGATGAAAGAGTCACCTCTGTGATGGGGCTTTGGTTTCCTGAGAGCTTACACTCTTTCCCCCAGTCTAGCCTGCCCTCAAACCCATTTCCTTCCACACAGTGACTTTTCTCTGCACAGGTCTATTTGTCCAGAGAAGGGAGTTCTAGCCAACCTCTCCAATGAGAGGATTTCAGAATACCAGAGCTGCAAGATCCTGAGAGAACGCTCATTGAAGAGATGAGAATAGCAGACAGAATGAGACACTCACCCTATCTCAGTTTTTGAGCAAATTTTCTGCAAAGCTAGAACTAACTTCCTGGCTTTGAGACAGCTCATTCCAATTCCGTTTACTACTTTACCGGGGTAATTCCAGGACGGGGAGCAAAATCCCCCAATATTTCTCACTAATCAAAGAAAGTTATCAACACTATACCTCAAGCATTTGAATAAAACCTGATGACAGGAGAAAAGGAGCCTTAAGTGAGAAAATCACAATGCAGATGGGCCTTGTTGATTAGAGCAGACGTGAAGTAGACAGAGCTAGTGTGGATCCAACTGTGTAGAATCTCCAAAAGCATCAATACGAGATTCATGTGTGGCCCCCCCCAGGGACCTATCACATACCGCGATGGCGTGGACAATGGTTGACAACAGGCCCAAACTGGAAACCATCTTTTGGGCTTTCTCAATATGGTGCTTCAATGGGAAATAAGGCATACAGAAGATGTGACATTCCAACTTTTCACAAAAGAAACATTTTTAAAGAAATCTGTGTATTGATGTTGCTTTAAGTAATTATGACTTTCCTTTAAGTCTATTTTACTTCTGGTCTCTAGAGAGCCAGGAATATAATCCATAGACGACACCATCCTGACGCTGCTCCCAGAAAAGTTGTGCAGAAGAATGACAACCTATTTATCCATTAGTATGACCAGTTCTCTCCTTCTTCTCCCGCCACTCTGATGTCACCACTTCAAGGCATAGTGTCAACCAGAAGTCTTTGAAAAATGGTGGTGAAGTAGCCAGCTTTCCTGACCTGTATAATTTTTAGCCTGGTAAATCAAGGACGTTTGTAATCAAGTTGACATAGAAGCTTGCCTCCACCATGGGGCCTATGACAGAGAGCCTGAGCTCTATGCCAGGCAGACACTCTAGTCCCAACTACAGGAGTCCCAAAGCAGGTTTCGAATTTCCTTGAGTCAAAGCACTAAAATCAAGGGCCAGGGTTGTCCTGATTTATCTGTTTGTGTGAAATCGATTTTCTTATAAACACTATTTACTTCTCACTTCCCTTGGCAATGTTTAGGTATTAAAATGGGATTTTGTTTTATGATCTATTCTCTTTTTTTCCATTTACAGCAATTTTTCTTGAGCCTGACCATGCAAAAGTATTCCTTGGAACATTCTTTAGAAAGAACAAATCACAGGGCTTCTCACTTGGGTCACCGAATCCAAATTTCCTGGAATGAGGCCTGGGAGTCTGTATTTATAAAAGCTTCCCAGGTGATTGTATGCCCAGGATTTAATGGTCTAATTACATGTTTCCTTCCTTCCTTCTTTCTTTCCTTCCTGTTATAAACACTGCATATAACAGTTTGGGAAGAGAGACAACATTCTCAGTTCCAAAGGTACTAACAATTACCATGAACATTTTGGAAGGAAACATGTCTGTAAACCTGGCTACTGGCACTATAAAGAATTTTAGAATCAGAATTAGAAAGATGGTTATGTTCTTCCTTCTTGAAGATATCTAGGAAAATAGACATATGTTTAATTCTCATGCTTTAAGCCATTATCATATTCAGAATGGCCCAGACATAAAATATGAAGATGTGGCATACATCCTATGTACACTTGAAGTTCTGAGGTTGCTATTATCTTTTCTTATCTAAACGAAACGACCCAAATTTCCCTTCATCTTCCCTTGTGGACAACCTCCCTGTTCTCTGCGTTCTATACTCTCTCCTGCTACTTCAGGTTCTTCAGGTGACTCTCGGTTCAACAGGGACCAAAATACCTTCAGGGCACAGCTGTACTAATATGCTTCATGGTTTGAAAAGAGTTCACGTATCTCTTTAAGAGAATCTAATTGGTTGTTGGGGAGGGACTTAGACTAGTGGACTGAAATAAAAAGATCTACAGATGAATGTTTTGCTTCACAATTCTAATGTTTTTCAATTCTAATTTCTGTTAGAATTTCTTTATTGAGTGGTTCAGCTGCATCTGATCTGTAGCCAGTTCCCAGATTCCTATTATGTAACCATCAGATTCTGAATTTCATCTCCAAGTGCACAACGCTCCTCCACCCCAAACCCTAGCCACGGTTCTTGCTATGGACACTGTGCCCAGGCCACCTGGTCCCCAGGATTTTCCAAGTTGGACTGGAGAGTAAACTCCCAGGCCTGCCCGGCCAGGCAGGGGACCCCAATGCACGGTGCATCCAGCCCCAGTTCTTTGTTCAGCACATTGCTACGGAGCACCTACTCTGCGCCAGGCCCATCTGTTGTGGTTATGTAAAACCAGTAAGAAAGAAGCAGGAAAATGCCTGTCATTTTTAATAAGGCAAAGAGATCTTGTATCATGTCACCAGTCACCTCAGCCAAAAACACCATGGACCTGTCGCTTTGAGACTTGAAAACAAACTGCTTCTCAGAACTGCCTTTTCCTCTCCAATTTATTGTCAGTATTTCCAATAACCCGTGGCTCCCTCTTCTTTACCTAAGATGCAGCAAGCTGAGCCTCTTCTGAGAAGAAAACCCTGAGGCTCAGGATTCTGAGTGGAAACATCCTGCTCCTCACCTTACAGCCTCTGGGCTTCTAGCAGGAAGCCCTTTACTTTCCTGAGTGTGCGCGCGTGTGTGTGTGTGTGTGTGTGTGTGTGTGTGTGTACACAGACAGGGTGGTGCAAAAGTAGGTTTACTGTTGTCGGTACACAAAACACAGTTTATTCTTGTATTATTATTTATTAATTGTTATATTATTTCCCATATGAACAACCGTAAACCTACTTCTGCCCATCCCTGTAATGAGCAAAGTTTAGCCAAGATGCTCTGAGCGCCCTTTAAAATGTTTTTATTGATTTCTAGAGAGAGAGGAAGGGAGAAGGCTAGAGACAGAAACATCGATTAGAGAGAAACATCAATCAGCTGTCTCCTGCATGCTCCCTGCTGGGGATAGAGCCTGCAACCCAAGCATTTGTCCTGACTGGGAATCAAATTGGGGACTTTTTGGTTCATGGGTTGGTGCTCAACCATTGAGCCTTACTGGCCAGGCTCTGAGAGCCCCTTTAAAGGACATTAGGGCAAAAGCAAAGTAGGGACACAGGTCCAGGGCTTTCCACCTTGGATGGCACTCCTGGGGTCTCCTAGATATTGTCTTCACTCATCAGTATAAATGGCTGGTAGCAAGTTAGCTATTACCCTTTGCATTTTAAAAGAGCTTGTACCTTAGGAGAAAGAGCTGGCACTCCAAGGTGAATTTTGGGCAGAATTCGGTGGTGTGGGGAGGTAAGGTGAGGGGAGAAGTTGGTCCTAATGCAGCTACACTCACCATCTCCCACACCACCCCATATCTCTGGCTTTCTATCCTGGGACCTCTCCTGGCAACTGATCCCACATGGAACCTACGTGGCTGCTCCTGCATCAGCCTGGCCAGCCCTCGGCCCTCGGAAGGCACTTATCTCCCAGCCTGGAATGTTCCCAACCTGGCTGAGGGCCATATAGGAGCCAGCTCACCCTCTGAGCAGTGGAAGCAGGCAACCCACAGGGGCGTCCTCCTTTGGGACTCCCGTACTCTTCATTTCAGTCCCAAGCCCCTTGGTTACAGTTTCCCCACATCAGATTGATCAAATAGAGCCAACTGAAAACAGACCTACTATATAGCAGCCATAACAGCTAACAGCTTTAGCCAAAGGAGAAAAAGACAAACCCTGATAGAAAAACAATGGGGCATTTGGTGAAGGGACAAGCTGCTTACAACAGGTCATTGGTCTCTGAAGACATCACTGAACTGTATGACAGCCCAATACCGTAATTATTACTGAGAGTATAACTCTGGATTCTCTGGAAAAGTTTAAATGGTATCAGTGTGCTCTTGTTTAGGAAGATAATCCTAAATCGCTGGATAAAGGGCGATTGCATTGAGCAGGCCCCCTAGAGGACAGTAGTGGTCACTGCAATGTAAAACCACAGCGTGGGGGCGCTGGGCGGGGAAACCACCTACCTCTGAATGTTATCTTCAAGTTGTTTGACTCTGAATTCATCCTCCTCAGACTGCCGCCTCCTGGCTTCCTCCTCCTCCGCAGTTCCAGCCGGCATGCCCTGCAGCAGCCATTTTTCCCGAAGCAATTTGGACTGGGGATGAGAGGAGAGAACAGACTGATGACACCTTTCAGACCACAGCACCTCTCCCTCCTCAGCCTCCGTTTTAGCTGTGCCCCTAGCGTCCCCGTCCCCCTGAATGGCAGCTTTCACCTCCTCACTAACTGGGCTCCTTACTTCCCTCCTGCCCAATCTCCGGAGAGGGTTCTCTTTCCAAACTTCTATTATAAAACATTTAAGTTTGAAAACTTAAAAACAAAAACAAAAAAAACACCACACAAGCAAACAGAGAAAGCTGTAAAATGAAGCCTGTGTAACCTCATTTAGATTGAACAATTATAAACGTTTTGACATGTTTTCTCATATGTTTTTCACCAAAGCATTATAAAGTATATAAGGAACATCATGATATTTCACACACACATATTTCAGCATGAATTTCTTGTTTAAAAAAAGAAATTATGAATTGCGGTTGCATTATAATATTTCCTAAAATCACCCAATATTCAGTCCATCTAAAAGTCTTTTTAAAAGATTAATCTATGCCATTCCTTTTCTTAAAAACTCTTTAATACTCCCACCCATTCTCAGAAATGGTCTCCAAGTGACATTAAAATCACACACACACACACACACACACACACATGCCAGTGTCCTAATACATCCTGGAGTGAAATGAAAAGTTTTTGTGTTTCAGGTCAGTTCCTGGAAAAGATGATTACTGCTTTGAGAAGGAAAAAGGAAAATAGCTCAAGAAAAAGGCATGTTGCAACTCCCTAAAATGAAGAGCAAGATGAAGAAGGTAGGTAACATAGTTTTTGGTTTGGGTTTCCATTGCATTGACCCTAGATGGCAGCTGGCAGCTATTGGATGTCTGCAGAAGCTGGCCCGAGGCACTGAGGCTGAGTGTCCCAGTGGACAGGTGGGTGGTCATAGGAATGGACCACCATGAGTATGCATGGCCACGTCTGCCTGAGGCAGGGCACACAACCAGCTCTTCCCAACAACAGGGACAACAGCTACGAAGCCTGTTGACACAGCATAAGCATGGAGTTCCTTGGCTCCCTGACAGCACCTGTATCAGAATCTCATTTAACCTCTTACACAGGGCGAGCAAGGTTCAAGGAAAGGGTGCGCTCATACTGCTTAAGAGCCAGGTCATGTATTACTCGGAGCCAATTAAATATCATTTCCAGAAATGAGGGAGTGGGCTATGTCTTTAAGGTTGAGGACACAAAATTCATGCTCACTGCAGTTTCCTTTCTATTGTTCTTATGAGAAGATATACAATTCAAGTTTTAAATTAATTTATTTTTTAAAATATATTTTTATTGATTTCAGAGAGGAAGATGGTATTAATGAAGGAGAGAGAGATATTAATGATGAGAAAGAATCATTGATCACCTGCTACCTCCACACCCGCCTCTGGGGATTGAGCTGCAACCTGAGTGTCCTGACCAGGAATCAAACCATGACCTCCTGTTTCATAGGTCTACCCTCAACCACTTAGCCACACCGGTGGGGCTAGACTCCCAATTTTATGTAGGATTAAGGGCTACTTGTTATGAACCTATAAGATGAGATACTAAATAGCACTAATATTTAGTAACAGTGAATTTACATCTCACTAGTGGTTCTAATTCACCATCCCACCGAGAAGTCCAGCAGCCATTCAGCACCCTGGAGACGCTGCCAGGTGCCCATGAGCAAGTGCTGATGGCTGGAAATCCATCCTTGCAGAAGGCCCTTTTGTTAGCAATGCTGTATCAGGGTGGTGGCCGGGTAGCCAAGGTTTTCCTTGGTGTTCTTCTTGCTTTTTAAAGCGAAGTCATTGTTGGTGGATATCTGTTTGCTTACTCTTCAAGTGCACAGAGAAGCATATTTATAACACTTGACCTGTAGCTTTCCAGTAATTAAAGACACGAGTCTGTTCATGTGTAAGGCATTCCTAATTGTGCTGCTGAAGTGACTGTTGACAGGAACCAACCCCTCACTCCAATATACTTCAATAATTACACAGCACTCATGGGTAACATATTTCCTGCACATAAATAGTTTTCAACTACTGCCAAGAAGAATACAAACAAAAGGATTTAGAAATGTATGGAGCATTTTTAAATAGTATAAAGTTATGTGTAAGAACTCACAGTATAGTTTGTTTACTATGCTGCTCTCACTTCTGTGCTGAATTGCACCCCACATTCATATGTTGCATTCCTAACCCCCACTACCATGCAATGTGGCTGCATTTGGAAACAGGGCCTTTCAGGTTAAGTGAAATCAGTGGGATATGCCCTGAGCCAATATGACTGGTGTCCTTACATGATATCTGAAGCCATGGTATTGGGGGACGATGATGATGATGATGATGATGATGATGATGATGATGATGATTCTTACAGAACTCTCACTGCTTTAAATGCTTTACATACAGATTCATTAAACCTCTACAAAAGTTCTAAGAGGTAGGTGCTAATTCAGAACCTTGTCCATGGTCACACATGTAGTAGGGTGTGCATCTGAGAGTTAAAGCTAAACAACGCATTCTGCTATCCTGCTTCTGCTATCCTGCTTCTACTCAAGAGTCATTTCCCCTGCAAAGAGGATTTACAATATCATCAGGCATCGCTGACCTATGCCTGAATGTGGGTAACTATCTCCCAGCTTGTCTAACAGTGGGTTCCCTATTGGTGCTGTCTCCCACTCATCCCCCAGCCCCTTATATTCAGGGGCTGTATCTTTTTTTTTTTTTTTTTAAGTGAATTCTTTTTAAAAAATATATATACTTTATTGATTTTTTACAGAGAGGAAGAGAGAGGTATAGAGAGTTAGAAACATCGATGAGAGAGAATCATTGATCAGCTGCCTCTGGCACACCCCCTACTGGAGATGTGCCCGCAACCAAGTTACGTGCCCTTGACCGGAATCGAACCCGGGGCCTTTCAGTCCGCAGACCGATGCTCCATCCACTGAGCCAAACCGGTTTTGGCCAAGGGGCTGTATCTTTTATTCATCCACTTGCAATAATCAATAGACACTGAATGAATCAATAAATGAATCAATCAATCAATCAACGAATCTTAGACTATTAAAAAATGCTTTAGAAATCATCTGATCAAACTCCGCCCTCCAGAGCTTTATTGAAGTATAATTGACATGTAAAATTGTATTTATTTAAAATGTACAATATCATTAGTCAAATCCTTTTCATTTACAGGTAAGATGTTTAATTGTGATTTCTTCTTATGCTTTTACTCCCAATCTCTCCTTCGCCTGTAACTAACATTGTGTTAGTGGATGATGGGTAGAATCTGAATAACTTGAATAGAAAAAGGATTAAACATGAAGTAGGAAACAGCTGGGCTTGTTTTCTCATTCATCCGTGTGCCCCCTCCAGTCTCCTTCCCTTCCTCCCCGCTGACCAGTTTAGAGGTTTTGTTAACTGAGTCAGTCCACACAGAAGCCAACCAAGACTTCTGGTAGAAGAAACCGAGTCTTAATGAACTTCTACTCAAGCGGTTTACAGGGGGCAACGCGATGGAAAAAACGATGAGTGAAGTTCCTTTACGCCATGTGTACCCCGCTGTCTGTTCAATGTTCTACAATTTGAAACTGGCCTTTCACACACACTAATAACCGAGGAAAGTCTAAAATGAGCGCTGAAGGCTCATAAAAGGGGGACACAGTACAATATCTCTGCAGCGAGCCTCCTGATACCCCTAGGCTATGCAGCAAGTGACCTTGGTGGGGTGACAATAAATAGTTCTCAGGGTCACAATTCAGTCTTTGATTCCTCCCCCCCCCCCCCCCCATTCAAGTCTTGAAAGAAAAAGCTGTGGTTTTAAAAACATAATGACAATGTTCCTAGCTTGGATTAGAGGGAAACTCCAGGCAGGGTCTTCTGCTCATGGATAAATAATTCAAACGCAGCTTATGTATTGGAGGTGATATTAGCAATTTGATGGTGACAGTGCTGACTCGGGCACACAAACCTTTGTAAGTGTGACAGTCCCAAAGGAGTTCATGTGGCAATACGCACTGTGCTGGGACCTTGAACCGACCAATAAAAGAGACAAATCTCTGGCAATCCAACCAAGAGGCAAAGGGGATATTACATTCGGTCTGTTCTGACAGAATACAACAGTTGATTTATTTTTTAAAAAAAACTCACATTATCACCAGCCACATAATAAAAACAATAAAAATAAATAATCGTTTCCATGGAGTAAGAAGCCAAGACAATTTTTCGAAAGAAGAATAGCTCTTGCCTTATGAGATATATTCTAATATATTAAAAAACCTGGAGGGATTAAAGGAGGATAGCATTGGCACAGGAATGGCAGATGGATGGTGGACCCGAGGATACGTGAGAAATGTGTGTGCGATTAAGACTTTTAAATCAGTGAGGGAAAGAATGAATTAATTGATCCATCATGTTGAGACAACTAGCTCACCATCAGTAAAAAGTAACGTTATTCCTACCTCACACCTTACAGAAAAATAAATTCTTAATCCTAGCTGGATCGAAATGATTGAAGTAGAAGAAACATCATAGGTACGTGTCTGAAACGGAGATATTCATCCCAAGGCTAACATCAAAACCAGAAATCACAATATTAAAAGAATGTTAATGGGATTTCCTAAAATTATAAAGTTTTGTATAAGAATTTGAAAGAATCCATATTCAAAAATTTATCAAAGAAGTCAAGGTCAATGTATTTTAGATACAAATGTTAATATTATTTTATTTACAGGCTGATGAGGCATGTGAACAAGAAGAATATATCTTAACTTAATAAAATATGTTGGGGAGAAAAAGCATAGAAGGATATACTTGTGTGGGTTATATGTGGGTGGTGAGTATATAGTTATGTTCTTTCTTTATATTTTCCTGTACTTTTAAATCTCACTTTAGCAATGATTATACATTCCTTCCTTTTATAATCAGCAAAAATAATACAGCTGTTAAAACTGCTTACTGGCCCCATATGGGAGCATTTTTTTGGGGAAATTCTTACATCACACATAGTAGATACTAAATATAGCTAAGGATCTTGTAAAGAGAAATCTTAGTTTAATTTTCCCAGGTCTTTAAAGTACCTGGAGGTATCTTAGTTACTGGGTTATAGCCGCTAATATTTCAGCATTTTATATTGATACTTTGGTTTTTCATTGCATTCTCACATTTGTTCATTGTCCATATATAAAGTAATGATATTCTATGTTGTGGAGTTATTCACTGTATAGCTCTAAATTCTATAATTAGCAAACATATTAATCAAACATACCAGTATCAAAACTACTGTCTTGTATTCTACTTATTTACTTTTACAAGAGATGCATGAATTTGTCTAAATAATTCATCTCACTGCATGAGAATAAGTATCCACAGATTATTTGATCATGAGAATTATAACTTAATAAACATGAAATCCAATTCTATTGTTCTATTTAATTTAACTTTGCACCAAGATTACTTATTTCTTAGGGAACATCTGGGGTTTTGTAAGCTGGTGAAATGAATCTTAATTACTAACATATTTCCTGAGATTATCTACATTAAGGAACTTCCAATAACTACTGTGGTATGTCTCCACATGGTCTAAATTTTCTGGAGTCCATGATCATGTACTTAGAGTAGAGAGACATGGGATGGTAATGATGGTAAATACATGTGATGATGCTAGTCGGCATCTAGACAAATTATTCAAAAGGACACATTTCATTTGAAAAAAAAAAAATCAGTGTCTAGGAGAAAGCAAGATTATAGAGGCAGACAGCCCGGCACTCATATTTACAGTCTTTAAGTTTTGGAGCAAATCACTTGGTCTCACAAATTTGTTTCTTTGCTTGTAAGACAAGGAGAGTAATATCTACTTCGTGGTCCTTAATGAGGTGACGTATTTAAAGTAACAACCGCCTAACAGGCACTCAATAAAAAAGAAAAAAAAAGAAAAGAAAAGACTATTATTGAGAAGGGAAAAGAGGATGACAAGGCTGCTTGCTACCAGGAGAACACTGGCTGAGTCTCCGCCAAGAGACTCACAGAGCAAGTACCACCTCCATGAGTGCTTGCACCTTGGAGTGAGGCTGCCAAACTTGAAATGGAATCATCACAGAGAGGGTGACTCACGCTCCTCAAGTTGAGTCAACAATTAGCTGATCTGAAAGAGAACATTTCTCTCTCTGGTGCCTGAAGTGATCATATCTCTCAGTCAGGCACCACCTTCCTTAGATGAAAATAACTCAATTGTCTGGGGGCAGGGGAAGCCAGAACAAACTGGGGGAGGAGTGGTGAGGGAAGATTCTCCTGAGTCACAGGGAGGCTAATGGACGCTCCTTGCCTAACGGCAGACCCCGCCTCACCAGTGCAATGAAACAGGGCTGGGGTCTCTCTCCAGGGGCCACATAACTCCCTTCGGTCCTCTGAGATGTCCTTTCTTATTGTTCAAGGCTAGCGATCCACCTCATTCTGTCTACACAGGTCTTCCCCAGGGCCAGAAAAATGCACTGGTCTCCACGTATTAAATGGCCATCATTTCCAGTCCTCTCGCCTCCAGATTATGACGAGGTTACCTTGGTGAAAGGACGGGTTGTTTCCTTAGCCAGCCAGTGAAAATGAGCATTTTTACCAGGATAACCATTAAGAACTATCCGATTCCCTTGTTTCCAAGTACTTGAAGGAATCTTACTGTTTGCCCATAGAATAGTAAGTCATTTTAACTGCTGTTTCTGTTGATTGGATGGATGGATGAATGGAAACATGGACAGATAGGGACATGGATGGATGGAGGGAGGGAGGGAAGAAAGAGAATGTTGTCACACTGTGCTGGACGTTAGTAATAAATGAGTCGTTGGATCATTATTCCAGAATGATGATGATGATAAGTTGGACAAAAGAAATTTGATATTCTCACATATGCAGATTGTCTGACTTCCGATTCAAAGAATGCAAAGGCAAAAAAAACCCGAAAAACAAAAAAAATCACATTGACCTTAAAAAGGAGAGAGGCTGGCTGTCTAGTAAAAAAAAACAACACAGCCTCTCATCTTTCTGTCCTCTAATTAACAAGTTCATCTTTAACCAAAAATTCTATAGATTTTAGTATATTTTGCATTTTTTTAAATAAGGAGTTGACTGTACACTGAGCCAGAGACCCAGCTCTGTCCAGAGTGACCTTGAACAATTCACCTGGTTCTATTAAGCGTTCCTCAGCCCTCCTCTCTGTCAGGAGAGGAGGCTAACTTTAGCCCTCCATCCTCCCCCAGGAATATTCGAAGGAAGGAGCAACAGCATATGGGACATACTGCAAGCTCCTACAAAGGAAGGTCCATACGTGGGTGTACAGGACGAGCAGAGAGAAAGGGGCACTGTCCTCGGTATCACGCTGCTTTTCCTCCTTTTCAACTCATCCCTCTGCTTACAGCTAATGGCAGCCGGTGAGTACAGGAAGCAGATTTAGGTCGTGTTGCTATTTGAGATCAGCAGCCGGCTTGCTGAGGATTTACATTCTGAGGACTCATTTAGCTCCACCCTGTCTTCCAGAGAAGAATGAGACATGCCACCATGAAGGTCCTCCCACCATGAACATTCCTCAAAGGATCCGGAGCTAGTGACCCCCTGCCAGGCAGCCCCACCCTCCCGAGCAGCCCTCCCAGCGCTGCGGCTCTGCACGTGCAAAGAGGTGGCAGGAGCGCTGCCTCCGGAAGCCCTGCGCAGGGTGGGCCAGCGGCAGGTGCCGGCCGGCCGGCCGGGAAGGTGCTCACACTGCCCCGAGCCTGCCCCTGAGCCTGCAGAGAGCAACATCCGGCAAGCAGGGAGCCTGTGACAGTGACAGAGCTTTCTCCTGGGCGGCAATCAATTATGATGCTTAAGTGCATGGTGTCTTTAAGAAAAAGAAATAAGTAAACAGCGCCTGCTCCCTTCCCACCCCACACCCCTCTCTACCTCCGTGCCATGGAGACCCAACCAAGTCAAATCATTCAAATGCTGTCGTTTGACCAACTGCCTGTTTTAATAGAACACTTTCCAAATTGCTAAAGTAGGGGGTTGGGGAAATGAATAATCTGAAATTCACTGGGCTGCTCAGCACTCTGCTGTTATCTTCCTTTTCTCCACAGCAAGAAGGAAAGTTGCTAATATTTAAATATATATATATATATATATATATATATATATTTTTTTTTTTTAAAGAGCATTCTGTTAAAGATATCTCTGAGAACCTTGAACAAACACACTTAGCACCTGTGCACCGGAGACACAGCCCGGCGCACGCCCTCGGCCGCCCTGGGGAAATTCTCTCCCGGCTTCTATATATAACCGCCGCATTGCACAGGCACACTCCCCCAACCTGTCCACAGGCACGCTCTCATCGCATCCTGCTTTCAGACCCGGGGATGCTGTCACAATGCCGTGGCTTGGAGAAATTCCCAGGAAGAGCCCAGTGATGGTTTCCTGGCTGAATGAAAGAGAGCTCGTTCAGCCAGCGGCAGCGCCTTGATGCCGCCCGCCGGAGGCGGCTCTGCCCAGCTCTCTGCGGGGCGAGTGGCGTGTCTAATCAGGGAAGGGGCTCGTGGCTCGGCCGCTTACCTTGCAGTGCTGCAGCAGAAGTATCTGCTCGTCGAGCTCTTGTCGCTTGCCTTCTATTTCAGTCTGCCTCTTTCTTTTCTCCTTGAAAATAAAGAGAGAGAGAGAGGCTGTGAGAGAGGGTGGGTGTTGGCTCCAGGAAACTGGAAGGCAGGCAACAGCAGCAGCAGCAGCAGCAGCAGCAGCAGCAGCAGCGCACATCTGTACAGACACTTGCAGAGATGCTGGCTGGGCATACACGCACGGTCACCTGCCCCTCCGTCGCTGGGTGTGCTGCAAATAGCAGCCTTCCCCGAACATGTCTGCTGTGGGCTCGGTGAGTGGGAGCAATTCTCCTCCCTCAGCCAAGCTGTAACAATTTAATCCAGGAGAAAAGGTGGCTTCTAGACACACACACACACACACACACACACACTCACACTCATGTTCTGAGCAGTGTTAATTTGGAGACAAAGAATTAAAATATCTTGATAAAAAACACAGAGGCTGTTATAAACTGCAAATAGGATAGAAAAAAAACCACAGTGGGAGTTCTAGGGTAGAGTTCTTTGATCGAAATCATATACACTTATCATACCAGGTAATTTCAAATGTCGTAGGACAAATCATCCCATTGGACTTAACCCAATGGTGCAAACTAGGTGTGAGCTCTTTCTTAAACTAGCCTTGTGGGGGCGGGGGCATCTCATGTGGGTGGGGCTCGCGGAGGTTCTGATAAATATGAACTCTGGGGTTGGTCTGCCTGCATCCAACTCCTGGCTCTACCATTTGCAAACAATTTGCTCACCTCTGGCAAGTCCTTTTACCTCCTAGGTCTAAGTCTTCTCTTACATAAAGAAGAGACAATAATAGCACCCAAAGCATATGGTTGAGGCATGTGTTAAGTGAGATAATACATGTAAAGGACTTAGAACAATGCCTGGCACATAGTAAACACTCAATAAGTGTTATTTGCTATTATTCTTATTGGCACATACTACTTTTAAGGAAAGCCTAAAAATTGGGTTTATTTTAGGGGTGTATTTCCCTTGTATTCACAGCATACCCTTTCTATTGGAGTGCACACTTAAGACTTTTCTTCTCCATACTCTGCAAATGTAACCAATAATCATCATGTGACTGGGCATTTATCCAAGAAACACAAAACACTAATTCAAAAATTCATCTGCATCCCCATGTTCATTGCAGCATTATTTGTAATAGTTAAGATATGGAAGCAACCGAAATATCTATTCGTAGACAAATGGGTAAAGAAGATATATTGGAATATTATTCAGCCATAAAAAGAATGAAATCCTGACATTTGTGATGGACCTAAAGGATATTGTGCTAAGTAAAATAAGTCAGACTAAGACAAATACCGTAGGATTTCACTTATATGTGGAATCTGAGAAACAAAACAAATGGACAAACAGAACAGAAACAGACATATAGATACAGAGACTGCTTTGACAGTTGCCAGAAGAGAGGGGAGGTTGGGAAGCAGTGGGTGAAAAAGGAAAGGATTAAGATGTGCAAACTGTCAGTTACAAAAGTAGTCAGGTCAAGTACAGCACAGGGAATATAGCCAATAATATTGCAACAACTATGTATGGTTTCAGATGAGTACAGTGATCACTTCATAAGTTATAGAAAGGCCTAGTCATTAAGTTGTACATCTGAAACTAATATAATATTGTATGTCCAATGTAACTGAAAATTAAAAAAAAAATAAACAGCACATGGATGTGATTAATTTAAGAACAGAAAGGCTTTCCCTTATGCTAGCTTATTTGTCCCATGTTTTCCTTCCAATGTGCCAAGACAGATACTGCCCTAAATTATTTTGCCTTACTCACATATGCAGGGAGACGCCTGTTAGACCAGACAAAATGGCATCTTACAACACGACAGCCAAATCCTGGAGAAGATAATAATGGAGAAGGCTGGCTGCTGTTCTCTGTGTTAACAGAAGCTTTTATTTTATGTAGTTGCTATGTTTCTGGGTATGTGCTCACACCACTGCTATTCAAATCCACATAGTAATAACTTGTTATAACCAAGTTCCCGGTGCAATGCCCAGATCTTAAGAAATATCTTGTAATATTTCTGGGACATATCCAATTCAGAGACACTGTGAGGCCCAAGAATATTTTTGAAACTTACTATTTACCAAAAAAAATCTAATCAATGGTGCATCATTGATGCTGTTTAACCCCAGGGTATATATCCAAGAACACGCAATATATGACAGTAGGCAAGAAAAGTGAGGCTGGGTGAGGAAAGTTCACCTGCCCAGCCACTCAGAGTTACCACATGAAAAAGCAAGGACCTCCAGGACCAGCCACTGTCCCTACAGTCTAGGATTCCTCCAGAGCAGGTTTACTGGACTTTTATCATTCATTCTCATTGACTATCGGGATATGGATGGTCCTACATTTAAATACAGAGCCAAGATATAGTATGTCAAGAATACAAGATGCTGATGACTCAATAATCCCATAAGTGTTTGTTGAAGGTTGTGTGTTTGTTACAGACTGAATATTTGTATCCTCCCAAAAATTCATATGTTGAAACCCAAATCCCAATCTGATAATATTAGGAGGTGGGGCCTTTGGGAGGTGATTAGGTCATGAGCATGAAGCTAATTAGTGCTCTTCTAAAAGAGACCTCAGTGAGTTCTTTGGCGCCTTGCTCCCTGTGGAGACACAGCAAAAAGACACCGCCTGTGAACCTGGAAGCCAGCCCCAACCAGAGACTGAATCTGCTAGACCTTGATCTTGGACTTCCCATCCTCCAGAGCTGTGAAGAATAAATGTCTGTTGTTGATAAACTACCCAGTCTACAGTATGGACTAAGACAATGTTCTAATTACTTGGTCATTTGCAAACCTTTCCTAAGCTATCCACAAGAAAGTGCTCACTCCACCGTTGCCCACCATCATATTGGTGACTCATGTCTTGAACAGAACACATATTACCAGATGTTTTGGGTAGCGAATCTTTATATCTTGAGTAGTTGATTCACTGATGGCCACTGGGAACATATATAATCATGAAAGCTGCAGATTTAAGTTAGTTTTTAAAGAATAGGTAGGAATTAGGTAGATACAGATTAATGGGAGGTGTATTCCAGGCAAAGAGAACAGTGCAAATGAGGGCAGAAATGCACTTCAGATTCCAGGGACAATGAACAAGGAAATATAAGTGGGAAGTCAGGTTTGCCTTTAGAAGTAGAGAGGAATGATTCAAAAGTCTGGCCGGGACTAGATCACTGAGGGCCTTGGATGTCAGGACAGCAAGTTGGAACTTTAGTGTATGGCCAATTAATGCATTGTAGGGTTCTAAGCTAGAGAGTGATATAGTGAAATGACATTTTTTGAACATGAATCTGGCACTGGTGTATAGGATGGATTAATAGGGGTTGGGATACTTTTCCTTTAAAGGGCCAAACAGTAAATATGTTAGGTTTTGCAGGAAAAACGGTGTCTATTGCAACAACTCAATGCTGCCATTGCCATGTGAAACAGCCTTAGACAATATATAAATGAATGTGTAGGCTGTGTTCTAAAAAATAAATCTTTATTTACAAACACAGATGGTAGGCCAGATTGAGCCTATGGTCAGAATTTTCTGACCTGTGGATGAAAATATCATTAAATGTCTTAGAAGGATGCTACATTCACCCAGAATGTGGTGGGAATGGGTAGACAAACAAGCTCACACTAGCTTAGGCTGTTTCAATCAGAATATAATAACCATAATTTATCAGACTCGGGACTAAACAGATCTAGGGGAAGAGGCAAGGGCATGTCTTGGCTTTGAGCCACACAGACCAGAGAGTGCTGGTGTAGGAACCGGCAATAGTGGGAAAACAGTATTTCCCCTCTGTGCTGGATTCGTATTTTCCATGGGGAAACTCCTTATTGAGTTAAAGCTTGAAAAGAGCCAGTTGTTAACATATGCAACCAGATATCAGCATCAGCACATTCACATTTGTCAGAGGAGAACCCTGGACTCGGTCCCTGAACTTGGCCCCATCTATGGCTGTTACAGAATTATTCCATTAGTCGAGTCCCATTCCATGGTGATGGAGTTAGGTCCTGAAGTCACTCCTAACCATATAAGATGTAAGATGTGCACTCATGAATTAGAGATGTACTAAACTAAAGTATGGCAAGTTCAAGCCAGGTACTTGCTTGCTTGCACTCCTGAGGTCTGAGCTGTGCTTCTCAGCTAATTAGTCTGCTACTTCCCAGGTTTCCCCTTCCCAATGAATGCCCAAACAAACCACTGATCTTTGGACATCAGCCTACATGATTTCCTTTACTCTCATCATCTATACAACCTACATAAGTGATAACTTTCAGATCTACATTTTCAACCTCAATCTCTCCTTTGACCTCCAGACCCCCACATCCAACTCCCAACTGTTCATATCCAGTCCCTCAAACTCAATCCTTGGGGTCATCATCTCAGCCATCCCTCCTCCCCTACTCTCACACCTGCTCCTTCTGTATTCCTCATCTCAGTGATGACTATTCAAGTCAGGAATCTTAGTTGTCCTAGGAACTTCCCTTTCGTAAAAGATCAAGTCCTTTGATTTTGCTTGTCTTTTTCCACATCTTCTGCTTCCTTACCATATCCTTTATTACTACTTCAATATTCTCACATTTATCTCCCCACCTACACATGTAGACTCGTCTACATTAGTGTCTCGAGTTATCTGTAGTCCTTAACTGCGTATACCTCATTTCCATCTGGATGTTGTCAACGAAGAAGAATTGCAGGGGTTTCTCACTAGTCTTCTTGCTCCTGGGTATTAGCTCTGAGCGAGTCATCCTCTGTATTGCTGTCAGAGTGATATTCTAAAATGGAAATCTGACTGTGACCAAGCTTTGCCTAAAACCCCTGAATGTCTCCCATTGCAAGCAGAGAAAAGAGCAAGTTCTTTAGCCTAGCCTATGAGGCCCCTCTCTATCTTTCACCTTCATCTCAAGCCATGACACCCCCAAACCATATGCTCCAACCTCAACAAACCATTGTAGTTTCCTGATCTACAAAGCCAGTTCATGCTTTCCTGGTTTGGTTCTTAACTGCTTCCTC